CACTATCTTTCGTTCGTAATATCGGCGTCGCAATATCCACCATCATTGGCGGTACCATCTTCCAAAACTCGATGAACGGTCAGGCTTCTTTTCTTCGAGACGCTGGGCTACCGCAGAATCTATTGAGTCAACTTGATGGCGACAGCGCCATGGCGAATGTCATGCTTCCTGCCACGTTCGAGAATGCGGCATGGGAACTTGCTGCGAAACAGGCCTTTGCCTCCGCGATGCGCAATATGTGGATCACGTATACAGTACTCGCTTTCTTGAGTTTTGTCGCAGGTCTGTTCATCAAGGCCGCAGTGCTGGGGACGGATCATGTGGAAACTGTCACTGGATTGAAGAAAGAGAAGGTCGCGGCAAGAGTAGAGACGGACAGTTCATAGGATGTAAGACGCGCTGTGGCGTGCACTTGCACGGGAAGGTGTGAGGTAGTCGTTGAGATGCTCGCGGCAGCGACGATGACGTCACGCCACTTGGAAACAACCCGTGGGCCTTTACGATGGGAAACCATCTCGACTCGAAATACTCCAGACACCAGCTATCTAGATCAAATCCCGATCCCTGGCCCAGGTTGCCCTGCTTATCGCTTACCCTCCATGGCTCCATTGTGATCTCTATTCTCGCGCACCGTGCGGCACACTGATTGGAGGAAGCTACCTACGTATAATTATGCGCGATGGTTTGAAGCTTCGGAATCGCCGTCGCCGATATGATCTGCTTCCTAACGCTTGACATACTTGCATCTTGCATCGTACTCTTCTGGTATCCCAGACAAATTCTGTATAGATGATGTGTGATGACGTGCGGGTAAGGCTGGCAGCGTCGGACAGGCCGACCCCGCCTCGTGGTGGCTGCAGATAGTCATCTCGCCAGGCTAGACCCCCTGTGAGTAGCGCTCGGTGTGAGCGAGGCCTCAATACTACATCACATACAGATCTCGGGAGGTTTTCGTTATAAGAGGGTCGCAGTGCGTTCAGTTCCTGGTGTGAAGAGATGGAATGCGTCATCGAGGTCTACAACTCTGCGATGGCCGAGACCCAAGAAGCGCGTTGTCTTATCGTCTAGCAAGAATACAGCATCTGATCCGGCAATCAGGGTAAGATTAGATTTCTCTGGGGTGACGAGGTGGGATGTGGGTCAACATCCGCGATAGGTGCGGATTCCCTGGCACGAGGTTCGTTGACGCCGCATGCGTCTGCGTCACACGGCATGTCCAATTTCCTGGAATACCATTGTCCACATTGTGCAACACGTCCGAGAAACGATCGATCTCACAACTTCAAAACACACCGCAATATCAATAAAGAGTAGGGATACCATTCCCTGAACCTTACGAAATGGGACTTTTACCGCGCTGTCCGGCATCACTGACCCCTCTTTCTGGCGCACAAGGCTTGCTTCCGTTGAGGAAGAACGTCATAGTTTCTGAAGCTTACCGCTGTTTAGTCTGACTTATGGTGACGCCCGCGACTCGTCGTTCACTTCAGGGGAACGTTTGGGTGTTTTTGCGCTAGCAGCGATGGCTCTCTGCGATCACAACCATAGCGCAGTAGTTTGAAGTATCTTGAGTACCCGTTTAATCATACCAAATCATCTTAAAGCATGTTGACTACACCGCCATGTACTTCTAGTCTCTCCGCCAGTATGGGCCTGCGGTAACAAACGAGGAACACGCGAATGTTCTCATGTCATCTGTGATCTTTGCTTCGCTGCTTTCGATCTACGGATGTTTTCACTCATGCGCAGAGCTGGTTTAAAAATATCCGATCGCTCTCGGTGTTACCCATGTATCTTTGCATATGCAGCCACCACCCGCTGCGATGGGCTTGGAACGGCGGGACGGATGAACTGCACCACCATCGTGCCATTTGCATGTGCATTTCAACAAAACAGGGCAGTGGAGATATGTGAGACTTGCAGAATCATGCGAAGATCCACTAGTGTGTAGTTGTCAAGAGGTAAATACCTCGAGCAACATCTCACTGCCGTCCACGCGCCATTAGGAAGGGCTGGCCATAGTGCGCCGATTACGCTAAAAGACCAAGGAAGTCCAAGCTTTCGTGATAGCATCTTACGTGCCCATACATTGCCGGCCGCGGCTTCTGTACAAGCAGATAATTCCATGGATGATTACTGCTATCCACATGAGTCTTGGCGCGGATCGACCGCTGGCCCGGTAGATTGGAGACAGCCGAAGCCACCATAGTGACGTCTGAAGCGGGTATGACACATGTTACCAAAGCTTCGAGGGCGTTGTCGTCTTGATTCGGCCCCGCCGTTGAAGCCTTACAATCGGGAACATACAGGTACTAGCGTGTTGTTGTCAGACAGCCGCTCATCACATGCGGTAAGCTTGAGCATTTGAAGACGGTACGGAAGATAACTCTACTCTCAAGCCTCGGCTCTAGTTGATAATTCTACGGCATCTCCGACTTTATGCATCTGTTGTTGGTGATTCCGTGGGAAGTTGATTTGCATTGGTGCATTTTGACAGGCAAGACTCGGAGCGACACTGACTGTGGATGATGATGTGGAAGACCGCGGCACATCGCGCAGCCTACCACAAGTTGTGATTATATATATGCTAGTCGTTAGCCAGCCCTCTTGACGCTTCGATAAACATACTGAATTATACCTGGCTTCATCAGGCAATATCATTATTCTCCGCTCTTGTTTATCCCGACCGATGATCCGTTCGCTTTGCCGGGAACTTCTTGCCACCGGTCCTTCGTCTCACTCTCAGCTCTTCCACTCAAGCATCTCTCGGCCTGCATAATCTCACCACATGTAGCCAGTATGTCTACCAGGAGCGGGGACTCGGACATCCATCCAGATCGCATCCAAGCCCGCGAGGACCAATACCGTCGCGATGTTCAAGCCAGGTCTCAGCCTCCAGTCGCTAAGAGATTCATCGATGTGACCGACTTCGACGCCATCGGTGCCCATCTTGATATGCCTGAGGACGAACCTTGGCCTCATAGCCTCGAGCTCACCGACCACAACGCCCTGTCTGACGGGCCCAACCTCACAACGATGACCGCAGATACTAGCACAGATTTATCAAGGGATCCGGAAAGCAGAATAGCAGGTGGCTCGCCCATATCTCGCGCATGCACTCCGAAGAAATGCGTCCCGTACCTTCCAATGCATGAGTACGAGGAACTACAACGACAGAAGTCAGCCAGCAGTAAGACTCTCCACAATATCCTCAGACGATCTGATGTCTAATCAGGGTTATTGTTCGACATGTGTTGGCCAGAGTTCATGCTGACGGATCGATAGAGCGACGCCGAATCTCCGTATCGACCACGATCGAGCCCGGAACACAGGACGAACATGGTGAACATGACGAAGACCACTATATCGAAATGCACAACACTCCCTTCTCCAACCATACCCCATCGCACGGCTCCCGAGACTTGACGGACAAAGAGGGTTGTAGTGTGAAGGATGTGGGGCTCAGTTCTTCAGAACCTTGGTCGCAACTCGGTCGAACTGTCGGAAAGAGCGTCTGCAGTGGCCCACAACCGTATGCTCTGCACTACGAGGGTGTCGCCGAATGAATGACCGTCACATGGAGGTCCACAATAATGGCAACGCCACTGATGAAGGTTTTGCAATGAAGCAAAGGAGACAAAGTCTTTGTGACAAGACCTGTGGTCTCGTCGGCATCGGGTTGTCTTCTGTCAGCAGCCTTGGTAATGGGGATTTCTGCTATCATTGGTTCCTTGTCGCTATCGATCTTCGGCTGAACGTTTTTGCTCATTTGACTCCGAGATTACATCGTGCATTGATAGTCGCGAGCGAACAAGGAATACATCATATCCACCTCTTCGTCCACACCTTCTAGTCACTGGTCCCGCTGACAAAAATTAACGAAAGCGGCGCTCAATTACTTCGAGATGTAAAAGCATACGAGATCTGATGCTGCGTTGAATGTTCAAGTGAGATTGGATACGGCCCAGGAAGAACGTCCTAACGAAGGAGTGCTACCCATCTGCGTAGAACTGCGGATGATCTGAAAGTCGATCTGTATCTTGTGCGAGCAAAAGAAAAGGCGCGCACCGTATATGCGCCGCCGTATAGCAGATATCTGCGTTCATCGTCCAGAAGCCCATGAAGCGCCTTGAGCTAACTACCTAGGTAGGTAGGCACGGATGTCGCTGCTTCCGAGTGGATAACATCATGAGCTGGCGGGGAACGTACCGTTTTCAGACTTCGTCGCAGCGCACTTTCTGCGTGTCTGGAAATAACGCGTTTGAAAAGCAAGATCAAAGAGGGCAGTGCGGGATCTGCACATAAGAGTGATGCGACGGCAGCGGCAGCGCCATGACCCCCGCAAGTTTCCGCAGGGCAAAACTGCGGGGCCGGGAAACGCCCTCGGGATGCAGGTGAGCCAAAATCGCAACCCCATTAAAACCTGAATCAGACACTTCTCAGAGATATCAGGGGTCTTGCAAGCTGCTAGTAGATCGGTCGTCATGCTTTCTTTCGAAATGGGGGTGTGGAGATCTACGGCTGTCAGCTGCCACGGACCCTCTGCGCGTTCCGCGCAAAAGCAAATTTCGTGCGCCTTCGACGTTCGCAATCGAAAAAGACGTTTACCGTTCATGAGCGGGGTCTTACCAGTGGTGTTGAGTAATACTAAGAGCAATCTAACCTTCTTGGTCTTTACGTACATACAGTGATTCGGTGGGCTCAAATGTTCAAGGGCTGTAAATGCATGTTTGCTAAGATGTACTTCTCTGTCAAGGAGTGATGGACGGTAAGTCTGATCAACGCAAACCTACATGCTGTAGTACATTGACGCACATTTCCAAGAAAGTTGTCAGTAGCTGTATCGTTGTCGATAATCCTACTATCAATCTCACAACAAATCTGAGAACACAATGATTGAGCATTGCAAAAGTTTTCGGCCTGTTCGTGATGTTACAAGTAGCTGCTATTAAGTATATGATGGTAGCAAGTACTACTATATCTACACAAATCGCTTTTGTTCATACGAAATCGTCCCTCGAAGTGACAGTGGTGGTGATGGTGATATCGCCCGGGTCCTTCGGCTCATGGTTCCAAGCGTTGTTCCCATGACTCTCCCTGAGTATCGTCTCCTCGCTTGCTGTATCACTGCCCATCCGAACTGTTGTCTGTAAAACACTCTCCCCAGGGCCCATGTATATTTTATCCGACTTCCTACTTCCATCCATACCACGGCTGCTCTTGGACTTGGAGTACTCCTTGAGTGGATAGGAGTTCTGGCCTGAGGAGTCGCCGCGTGAACCGTATTTGATGCGGACGTAAAGTGGCCGAAGAACGGGGACACACGCGCAAACAATCGTGAGGAATACTTCGGTGGAAGACCAAAGAAGCATACTCGCGGTGTCGTACACATAGTTCTCCATTGAGGACATGGATCGCAGTTCAATGGTACGGACAACAGAGCACGCACCGGCAAAAATGCCCAAAGAGAGACCAGATGCGATCGTGATCTTATCCTTGCGTTTCATATTGAGTCCCATGATAATGTGCCAAGCTAGGAACGGTCAGTGTCTACTTTGGAGGGGTACACAGCAGGGTAACGTACGAAGGAGAGCGAGAACGAAGTCCATAGCTGCAGACCAAGCGCCCATCGTTAGACCGACCTCGGTGAAGTTCAGCCAGCAATAGCCGCCTTCGATTGTCTGATCCCATAAGAACGCCGATGGTACACACTGAGTGTACAGAAGCGTTGTTGTGATGATGCAAAGCACTGTCGTGCTCGCTATGCAAAACCAGAGGATAGCAATGTGCCATCTCTTGATAACAATGCGCAGGAGAAACAGTGCTACTGAACCCTTGGAGGCAGCTATTCCCATGATGCAGATGCCTTGACCGATGGCTTCCCACATGATCGATTTGGAGTAGTTGAGGTCGAGTCGTACAATGTCGGCCGTCTGTTTGCCAACACCATAGGTGATACCAACAGACACGCAGCCAACATAACCGATGAAGGTAGCCTTCGAAAGTCAGTTTGTTGAGCCTTTGACTAACTACCAAGTTGAAGTTTGTGAATAGGTGTAAACTTACCAGATTGACCAACATCAGTACGTCGTCCCATCCGATATTTCTCACGATATACTGTCTTGTGTACATTCGCAATGCAACAAGCACAGTGCCAAGGACGACTTGAGACCACATCACCCCATTGAGTATATCCGCAAAATCCGCTGGCTTGCCCATCTTAATTGCTGGTGTCTGGGTATGGTTGAAAACCTGGGCGGGGCCTCTCTCCTCGTCGTTTGCTATTCCAGTGTGCCGCTGATGAGCGTGTAGGCTTGTGTCCAAAGAAGAGACAATTATGGATGAGGTGAAGGAAGCCCTGTGCTCGGCACAAAAGGTTTTATGTTCAGATCAACGACTCGAGTGGTGGCAAGGAATGTTAGACTGACGCATCTATAACCTCAATTGTGACCTCGAAGACACCCATGCTGAAGAGCAAACATACTTGCATGTACGTCCACGGCCCGAGCGCATCATTGCAACCCCGTTGTGGCTATGGGAAACTGAAGGGGGGCCGGGTTCCCAAGCCAAAACAAACCGCTAATTCTCGGGACCTGCATAGGCAATCAAACGCGGCATAGTATCAAAGCTTTGTTGCCGTTCTTGTCGCTCTCATTACCCTGCAGAGAGGCGCTATGAGTGAGGTTTCATGCATGCGAGGCCTCGAAAAAAAAGCAGTCCTCCGTTGAATCCTTGTGTAGCTTGACGTTGGTAGACTGTTTTTACTTTGCCGCCAAATTAGTTCCCGTCTTCTGCTTCACTTCTTCCCAGAGTAATTCATTCTGCATACCCAGGAGAGGTGTTGATCACAAATCTTTCGCAACTACCGGAGCAAGATACCCCGTTGGCGCTTCATGTGTCAAATTGCCTTGTATCTTGCAGCTTGCATAGCACGAAGGAAGAGATGAAATGCTTTTTCTTTTACTTGCGGGTTGACGCAGCACAACCTGCGGTCCAACAGGACCTGTTGTTCATGGGTCCGCTTCGTCTGATTCGCTGAGGGCCAGTTGTCCGCGTGATGAAGATTGGCCCAGGTTGAGCGCTCAGGTGGAGTAGGATGGTGTTCCTTCACCGTTCAGCGATGAAGCTAAATGTATCAGGACCAATGAGTGTCCAAAGCTCGGAGTATGCGACTACCGGTTATCCACTGTCCCCGAATGTGGAGGCCTATCCGGTTTGAATCTCGTAACATCCCGTCTCTGGAATGCGGTGCTGTGCACTAGTCAACTGGGTCATGTCCTTCGCGAAACCTTGGATCGTTCATGCTACGCAAGTGGCTTCGAGATGGCATTGCGAAAATTTGTTCTTGCATGCAGAATTCGATGATCTGAAGTTGTACAGGAACGTTTGGCCTTTCCGTGACGGGCCGTTGCCCGCACTACTAATCATGAGGGTCAGCTGTGGGCCACACCAGACTCGGCTAAGCGATCTTTAGTGGCGTTTCAATCGCACATCCGACGGATCAACCTCGGTCTAACCAGCAGCGGCGTGCGGAAAGGAGTGAAGGAGCGAAGGAGTCAGATCCTACGAGGCAGTTTTCCAGGACTGTGGAACGCAGATAAGCGTGTTCATCTGCGCCGTTCTCCGGGGACTGTCAAGAGATGCATCCTGAGGTCGCATCCAACATAGGAGCTTGGTGCGGTTGGACCTGCAAATGGAGCGAACCTCACCTGCCTCACACCTGCTCTGCAAGGCCCGGTCAGTCCCCACATGATTAGCCTGTGTTAGTACCCGTGAACCGTAAAACTCCACACCTCCCGCTGTCACTCCGTCATTAGTGCAAGGGACCGCTTCCCCGACATTCGCGATGGCTGGTACGACCAATGGCTAAGCCTAGGATTGCGATAAAAAGGTGGTGGGAAAAAGCAATACACGCCATGCTTGTACGCAAGCGGCGCCTTGCCTCGCTCAGGGCAAGTTGGACTTCCAAGGTTGGCTTCACCAGCACCACGGCGACCAAACAAAGGGGACTCGATCCTGGCCCCGTCTTCGTACATATGCTAGACCGATACCTGAACATGCGGCTACTAGGTGATTCGCAACAATCTGAAGCGGGAAGGCCTTGTCACCTGCATTACCATATTCAATCCTCTTCCCACTCCTGGGGTTGTGTCCTTTTTTCCTTTTCAGAATCACATTGCATGTGCGGAGTTAAGTGACAACATGGCATTGGCAGGGTTATTCGTGAAGGTAATCGGCCTCGGAGCAGTCCTTCTCATCACTCGATACGTTCTGGCTTACTTGCAATCCCCACTCAAATCTATTCCCGGTCCCTTTCTAGCCAAATTCTCGGATATCTGGCGTTTCCTAAATCACTATGGGCAAACTCATATTGAGACCCAGAGGAAACTTCATGAACAGCATGGCGATATCGTTCGTCTCGGTCCCAATACCGTTAGTGTTGCTGATGCCAGTCTGATCAAAACTATTTACAACACTCGTGGGACGTACTTGAAGGTCAGCGCATGGAACACAGCTGCTATTGAAACGACTGCTGACATTACAATAGAGCGATTACTACGTAAGATATAGGCAGTCGTCCTTAGAAGTGGATCATGCTAACCCTCCTTCGGTCTATCAACGACGCCCTACAAGATGGGCATCTCATTCAAAACATCTTCAGTACGCGCAGCAATGAGTTCCACTCCAAGAATGTTAAGCCAGTTCAAAAGCTGTATAGTCTTCAAAATGCTCTTCAGATCGAGAGTATTATGGACGACAACCTCCGTACCCTATGCAGTCAACTCGACGCCCGCTTTGTGGAAGGCGCCAACAAGGACCAGACATGCGATGTTGCTGATTGGATCTCATTCTTCGCATGGGACTTCTTGGGTGATATGACCTGGAGCAAGCGTATTGGCTTCATGGAACAGGGTACAGATGTTGGCGATATGCTTGGAACCGCTGAACGTGTGATGCGCTATTTCTCCGTGGTATGTTCTACGCTGAGTCAAAAACTTATCAAGGCTGTTACAATTGCAGAACTTCTTACTGACATTCGCTAGGTCGGCCAAATGCCAGCCCTTGACAAGTGGCTCGGAAAGAACCCCAAGTGGCCACGCTCGCTCTATAGGTTCGATGACTTCTCCGTTGCTGCCGGCTTCTCCGTCGAGCGGTTTATGGAGCGTATGCAGAAACCTGAACTTGGCAACGGAAAGAAAGACTTTCTCAATGGCTTTCTCGAAGCAAAGAAGGAGTTTCCGGACCTTGTCACCGACAACGAGGTTATTGGGTACATGATCATCAACGTGAGTGTTTCATGGCTGCGCTGTAGCGTGAGTAGAACTAACACCGCTCCTGCAGATTCTCGGCGGTGCCGATACCCTTGCCATTGTGATAAAAGGTATCTTCTATCACATCCTCAAGTCATCAGCATCCAAAGAACGCCTCGTCAACGAACTCCTCTCTGCAGGTCTCTCCTTCCCTGCATCCTACACTGGCATCGAACAGCTACCCTACCTGGATGCATGCATCAAAGAAGGTCTCCGTATGCATCCCGTCGTAGGTCACATTCTCGAGCGCGTCGTCCCTGCAACAGGTCTTACATTATCCAACGGAACGACATTGCCGCCAGGAACAATTGTCGGAGTGAATCCATGGGTCCTTCATTACAAGGAGAGCATTTTTGGGGCAAAGCCCCATGAGTTCCGTCCGGAGCGATGGCTGCAAAGTGAACGCGAAGAGTCTGGCGCGTACGAGGCCAGGATCAAGAGGATGAAAGACGCAGACATGTCGTTCGGAGGAGGCAACAGGATCTGCCTTGGCAAGCCTTTGGCACTGGTAGAGGTCTACAAGGTGGTTGCGACAGTATTTGGAAGATATAAGGTACGTTTTGACTTCTTCTGGGTGTGGATGTGAGTGCTAATGTCTCAAAGATCGAGCTTGAGGATCCAGAAAAGGAATGGGATCTACACAAACAATGGTTCGTATGGCCGCATGACATCAAGGTCAAGCTGAGTCCACTTGAAAGCATCAGCGCGCCATGAGTATCTCCATGCGGAACGGCACCTAGATGAAAGTGAATGAAGCATGCGACACACCCACACACAGTTTCGATCTTACAATACTACATTACCAAGGGAATCTGCGATGTGTTCATGGTGTATTTGCGATCTTCGCGTGTGGAAGTTTTTGATCAGTGATACTGCGTGCCCCCATGAACTTCGTTAGACATGTAAACATCTCGAATGTATTGTCGCCCTCATTTGAGCATGTTACGATGCGCGGAAGCGATCCAACATCATCGAAATCGTCATCAATCACGCTAACCTCTTCGGTCTTAGGAGCACGGCCCTTCGGCTCTGGCTTCGTTCGCCGCCATTAGTTCTTGCATCCCAGCGTCGCCAACGTGCGTGACTATACATCTTGTGTCTTTTCAGTTGCTTACGACATCTTCACGTGGCCGAGATGGTACGATTGTCGGGACTTCAGAAAGACGTGTTGTCTCTCTACCGACAATGCCTAAGAGCTGTGAAGCAGAAACCAACGGTATGTCAATTACAACACTATGATTACAAACACCTACTCATGCAGTCATAGGAGACGCAGTCGCATTTCCGGGACTTTGCAAGGTGCGATCAAGTTAGATGAACGATATGCTACGACAGCTAACGAGTAGCTCCAGATCCGAGTTCCATAAGCACCGGGATGTCGGCAAGAAGGACTTCGGTACCATCGAATATCTGCTTCGAAGAGGAAGAAATCAGCTAGAGACATGGTCTGAGCCAGGCATCCGAGACATCCACAGGTAGCGGGGGAATGCAGGATCAAGGCACGAGGAACGAAGCGGCGCACCAGTGAGCGAGCACCCAACGTCACCGTGATACAACCTGTTAGATGAACATCACGCAATACATGACCGAATTGCGGGGTACACGGGCCTTGTGCAGCAGATGCCTCACATGTCGCTCCCAAGGCGTTGGATACTTCGAGCGCGGACATCACGTGATATGGTCTGAGCCACCACCCCGAACTTTCTAGTCCCAACTCGCCCCTCACCGAAGCAGGATCAACCTGGAGATTGCCATGATAGTTTCCCTCAACAAGAGCTGGAAGCCTCTCATCTCACGATCTTGTCTGGTCGCGTACGACAACATGACGACAAACGTCGTGTTCGAAAGCTCTAGAAACTCCCCGAGCCATCTCCGAGGCTTCTCACAGCATCGTCGTCGACGCAACACCAATGTCTCTCCGCAGTACGATCCTTCCAGAAACTCATCTCTCGGGTATATATAGCCTTCGAGGCATCTCTCAAAGCTCATCATCAGAACAACAAACAACGAGTCTTCTATGCAATCAATCCGCTCTACAATCCAACGAGTTCCTCGACAACTCAACCGCATCACCAAGCCTACAATCACAACCACTCGACACTTTTCCAACGCACCAGCAACAATGTCTCTCTTCCCACGATTCACTCAGGAATTCGCTCCTATCTTCCGTCTCTTCGACGAGTACGATAGGCAAGCCTTCCGCAACCTCGACCGCGAATTCACCAACGTCCGGTCCTTCACTCCCAAGTTCGACGTGAAGGAAACCAAGGAGGGCTACGAACTCCACGGAGAACTCCCTGGTGTCGAGCAAAAGGACATCAACATCGAATGGACCGACAACAACACGCTGACCATCTCGGGCCGCCACGAGCACGTCCGCGAGGAAGGTCAACGCCCTCAGGGCTTCATCGAGAACGGTGAAGCTTCCCAGCAGAAGAAGCTCCAGCCCAAGGTTGAGGACGACCCCAGCGAGTCCAACAAGGTCGCCAAGCAGTCCGAGAACAAGGACGTCTCCAAGCACGACGAGAACAAGGCCAAGTACTGGGTCAGCGAGCGCTCAGTCGGAGAATTCCACCGCTCCTTCGCCTTCCCCGCTCGCGTCGACCAGGAAGCCGTCAAGGCTTCTCTCAAGAACGGTATCTTGAGCATCCTTGTTCCCAAGGCTCAGGCTCCTCAGCCCCGTAAGATCAGCATTGAGTAGATCGAAGCGGCTTGATTGAACGACGATGAACGACGACGAACGACGACTTCTCTCCTTTAATGAATCAGCGAGCGTGGCATAGCAATGGAGTTTTCGATGGGTTATTGTAGTGTTTTGGGTTAGTTCTGTGCTGGTAGTGGTGGCAGCATTCACTCTCTTAGTCGGACAGTGGTATTAGGAGTTTGTATGTAGCTAATCGCAATGTAACAAATTTACATTATCCCCCGTGCCGGTTTCAGTGATGGTCTGGTTGGTCTTTGGCACAGTCTCCTCGGTATCCAATATCAAGTGTCCTCTAGTTCGATGTCTTCGGTCTTGGTAACAGCAACCACGGGTTGAGATAGTGCTAGACCGACCGGATCGTCGCTGAGATCGACACGGGGTTTATCGAACTCATCGCTTTTTACCATCTAATGCTGATGGTGATGTTTCATTGATCTTTGAGATACTCTAAGTGTTCAAATCGTGAGACAATGAACTGAATTTCATGCTAGGCGGATCGCGCGTGATGTTTTGCTGTCTTTTGTGCTACATGATGTGCTAACGTGTGCGGAGGGGAGCCACTGTGAGACGCGTGGGCATCGAATTCCACAACTACTACCACTACCTTATTCAAAACGACTTCACTCTTATATCCTTAACGAAAGCATAGCCATTCCCTCAAGCCTTGTACTACACGCAGAAATGCGCACCTGCTACGAGCGCAGGCAAAAAATAATCGCTATGCGTCGCACCTTCCCTCGTCATGGGTCCAAGACGACCCATCAGCAAAAAAAGAATGATCATCTCGCAATTGTGGAGAAGGATGTTATGCATCCTCCGGGAGCTGGAAAGGCTGTTAGAACGATGTTGAATGGTGTGGAAGAGGAATAGAACGTACTCGAACCCGGGCCAATTGCTTGGAAGGCAATTATCCTACCGTTGGACCAAGAATGCTTGATGGAGGTTTGCAAAACGCAAGCGAATATGTACCACGTAATTCTTTCTATGCGTAGCATCTCGAGCAACCCTCTGCTCAGCAGTGCTTGTGATACTAGCGGTCTAAAGCTACAGATACGACCTTGTGGATAAGGTCCTGCGATACTTAGCGCCGAACTACTCACTACATCGTTTAGACCGCGACCCACAACTTGCCCAGTCTGGTAACAAAGGTTCAGGGTCCGCAAATGCGCGGTAAACATGCGGGACTTGATAGCAAACTTCATGGTAAAATTTCGCAAGGCAGAGCTTGTTGAACACGAGAAACACGGGAGCTTCTGATTCTATAGTAGTCGGTCACAAATCCAAAGAGCGGACCGTCCAGCGAGTATACTAAAAGCTTTCTATATGGTCCTCATCTATCGCATGCACATGTTGCGCAGAAAATGTAGACCAGATTATGCCTCCATAACCCATGCGCCATGCGTCGCTCAATCACCCGTTCTCGAGTTCTCGATCTTTGTTACGATGAGATCGGTGGCCCCGACCTCCGTCAATTTGTCCATGGCAATAGCAATATCTTTCCTTAGCACCATAGCCTGTACAGCCACCCAGCCATCCTCTTCCAACGCGTTGACGGTGGGGGCGCGACGTCCGGGAGTGATCTTGCGCGCGATATCGAGTTTCGATCGGTCGATGTTGTATGTGCACAGAACGTACTTTTGTGCAGCTGCGAGAAATTAGTTCTGCTGATGAATGCGGAATTCGATGCGACTTACTGATGACACCCTTTATCCGAGCGGTGATCAGCTCAACCAGTTTGGGATCTGATGGGTGCTTTGACTTGATGAGAATGGCGCTGGAGTCGACGACTGTGGAGATGGCCTTGAGGCCTGCAGCGCGCATTGTCTCTCCTGACTCCACCAAATCGACAATACCGTCCGCGACACCCAAAGCACATGCCGCTTCAACACTGCCGCCAACGTACTTGATGACCGTCTTGAGTTTCGCTTCGCCATTGGCTTCGCCGTTTGTGTTTCCAGCTTGCTCGGCCTCGAGTTTCCGGAAGTACTGCTCAGCCAGATTGGTGAAGCTGGTGACAACATTCTTGCCGATCAAGTCCTCTGGCTTGGCTAGGTCGCCCTTCGCGGGGACTTGTACCTGCAGACTGCATTTTCCAAAACCGAGATCGAGAACCTCCTCTACGCCGCTGGTGGCAGTAGGTGGTGCAACGCACTCGTGTTCTGCGACTTGGTCGCGCCCGGTTATGCCCAAGTCTACGCGACCTTCTCCTACGAAAGTCGGGATATCAGCGGCGGGTAGGAAGACGAGTGCGAGAGGGTGGTTCTTGACGAGTGCGATATCGAGACGGGAGTGTCGGTGGAATTGAATGTCTGAGCCGTGGAGGAGATCAAGACATGCTTGGTGGAGGCGGCCCTCTGCGATGGTTGTTAGCCTATGAGTCCAGCCAGTAGTAATGTAGGCGACGTACTCTTAGGCACCGCAAAGAGGAGACGGTCGTTCAAGCTGTTTCCCAAAAGGTCAGTCATGAAAGGAAGACTTCTGCTACCCTGTCGCGCTCGTTGCGCAATGCGCTCGATCTCACTCGCGCCTTCAATACCGTTGGTGTACCCCATGGTCATACAAGAAGCTTATCAGAAGAAGGAAAAAGAATGGGGAAAAGAAACAATCAAAACATACGAGTTGACGAGATCCATGGCTATGAATCAAGCACGCAATTGCTAGGGTTTGTAGTATGCAGACGCGCGCTGTGCACCCTCTAACAAAGACTTGAATGGGGAATTCTGCTACGGGCTAGGCCACGAGTCCCACGTCGGCACTTGCAATTGGATGCGGGCTTGGTGCCGTGGAGAGGGCTAAATGCGCGGGCGGCGTCAGACCAGATATGTGGGCTCGAGTGGGTGGATGTGTGTGTCGTTTTGTAGTGTACAAGATTGAGGCGCGTCTCGAATGAGTGACTCAATGAGGGGTAAGAGCTACACGTGTAATGCGCCAATGGCTGTGAACCCTCAAAAGCATAGTAACTGAGCGCACATATCGCTGGTATCGGGCTTAGGAATTCTCTGGCTCACATCATCCCAATTGGTGCATGAAATTTGGTAGCCGTGACTGACTGGCGCGTTCAATTTTTTTTGGCGGGATGACGTTCCATCAACATATGTTGCCCCGCGTTGCGATGCGTCGGAGTTTGACGAAGCGGCATTGGCCGGCACCAACTCAATCTCAAGTTGGCTCACTATCGTGTCTGGACTGTGGGCTGACAGTAGTATATCCAGGTTCCGTAACCATCGCTGTTGGAAGAGGGTTGATACACACTTCACTACCCTATTAATGTGTTCACGTAAAATGTTTCAGTATTAGGTGGGAGGAAGTACCATGCTCAAATTGTAAGGATCAGACATCTACTGTCTACGCGCGTCTATCTATAATGCACTACATATGCATTAAACCTATGCCGCTTCATCTCGAAGCACAACCGTGAAACAGAGACGTCAAGCGCAAGACGCCATGCACGCATGTTTCCCTTTTAATTCTTCCTGAAATGACCAACCGCGACTCCAAACTGAATGATGAGGAACGAACTCCAATATGAAAGGCGCATACATAGGAAGCCTCGTCATGCCTCACATGAAGTCATCACTATAATCTGTTAGCAGTTGCGAAAGCCAGACGGGCTCAAACATGACTTACTCGCCGAAGTCGTCGTCATCGTATGCCCTGGTATCTGCCCTGACGCCGACGTCTCTGCTCGCATTGAGTGTAGTCTTGGTCTTTGCAGCCTTGCTCTTCTTTCCACCCTTCTCAGCAGCCTTCTCTTCCTTCATCTTCTCGTTGCTCAGTGTTGTCAGGCCAGATGCAATCTTCTTAATCTGCTCACTCGGCAGATCCTTAGCAATCTGCTTGGTGAACTCCTGTAGGAACAGCGAGTACTGGCCCTTCTTAGAGTTGCCAGCAATCAGAGGTGTGAGAGTTTCCCGGAGCTTAGTAAACTGGTCCTTGGTGTTGGGGTTGAAAAGAGCGAGGGAGGAAAGGTCGATGGCGTTGCCCGGGTCGGACTCGTCGGCGATGGTGATGGCTTTACCGGTACGGGCCTTGGGCGCGACGCTCAGGTCGCCAAAGAGTTCCTCAGCTTGAGCGCGCGAAGCGTCGAGTTCTGCCTGGCGCATTCGTTCGCGGCGTTCAGCCTCAGTCTCTTCTTCGTCGGTCTCGCCATCTTCTTCCATCTGCCGCCGACGTAGCGCGGCCTGCCTGTGCTCCTCGATCCTTTGCGCCTTGGACTTGTGGTTTGCCTTTGCCTCTGCGTCCGCCTTAGCCTTTGCCTCGGCGGCCTTCTTTGCCTTCTCGCGTTCGACTTCGGAATCTTCGGCGGCATCCCATGAATCTAGTACCTATTATGTCCAATGTCAGTCCGATTGGTCGTGGCGGGGCTTGAAGTATTCAAGCGCGGGGCATGGTGGGCTGACGCACATCGTCGTCTTCTTCTTCATCGTCGAACTTGCTGCGGCGCGCGATAGGAGCCACCTGTGGGGATGTGGGAGGAGTGCTGCCCTCATCCTCGTCGTCTGCAGAACATGTCAGTCCCAAGTTTTTGCATGATCATCTTGAACCGCGCGCAGTGGCAGCGAGCATGACGTACCCCACTTTCCTGGTGCCATGGTTGCAGTTGTTTGTGAAAAGGTATGGGCTGTGTGTTGTTGGAAGTAATGTATCCAAGGGTTCCGACGGCGGCGCAGGGTTTTATGGGCGAGTGGTGTGGGTGAAGGAAATGATCAAAGGTTGACTACGGCGCAAGACAATGGTTGGGCTTCTGCAGGTGTCGCGCGTGGCTCGCTTGATCTACCAAAAATTAGCTGCCCAATCACACATGGTACGCCACATTCACTCTTTACATGCACACCTCAAATCGCTACGACCCTTGTGTTTATTGTAGGTGGATCGCAGACTAGAACTCGCAGTACAATGAAGTGATGCATGAGGAACTTTGAGATTCCATTATTGCTGTCCTGCTCACGCTAGGCCATGCTTCGGCCGCAGGCGCCTTGCAGCCAGATTGTATCAGCCATCTCATATCTACAAGACATTACTTCTTTAGCCTTTTCCTTCACGCCTGTCAAGGCTTCAAGTACAATGAAATCCCTATATCTAGCTAAACAACAAAGAAACAAGAACGGAAGATGAAACTCGAACCCAACCAGGACATTGCCAGAACATGTTGGAAGCAGACGAGTTGTTGGGAACAAAAGACCCGAGTTTACTACTCGGGAACCTCCCAGGGTCTCCAAAATTTCCACCCTTCTCTAACCTCTCTAGGGCCCTTTCGTTTCGAGCTGGAAACACCGACCAGTCTTTCGATACCGACTGTGCCCTCGGCCCGAAGGAACTTCTCTTGATCAATCTCCTCTCCGCCTTCCTCTTCATTTCCGTTGTGTAGAACAGCAGGCCAAAGCACACCTACTCCGTCACCAGCAAGCGTCGTCTCGAACTTCTCGAAGCCTTCCTTCTCTAATTTGACCTCAAGAGAGTCGAGAATCTTGTACTTTAGCTTTGTGCCGTTGGATATTACGGATGCGGCGCCGCCCCCGTCCGCTTCGGAAGAGGCGTCAGATTCGTCTGATGAGGTATCGTGATGCGCGCCATTCGCATGACCGTTGGTGAGGGCTGGTGGTTGGGGCTTAAGAATAGTAATAGCGCATCCTCCGCCTCCTGCACCTGTAAGTTTTGTCCATCCGATGCCCGTGTGATCGATTATCTCGCGGATACGCTCAAGTTTGGGATGTGAGACGCCCAAGGAGACGAGTAGCCCGTGGTTCATCGTGACGAGCTCACCGAGATGTCTTAGTGAGTCCGGAGATGTTTCATCGAAATCGGGAGATGTGAGTAGTTTGTGTGCAGATTCCGTCACTAGGCCAATAGCATTGAGGATGTTTTCTGTGAGATCGGGATGCACCTTGAGAAGGTTGGCGACCTTGGCGACTTCTGTTGCCGTACTGCGCGACTGCCGTGTGTTGACAAGCAGCAGTGGGAGCTCGGGGAAGCTATGCAATGGTATGACCAGAGGTGGCTTGTCGTAATCCCTCCGCTGGAAGAGAACCGCTTTGCCGCCCGAGGAAACGGTATTATCGACACCTGAGGGATTTCCGTGTATGCACATCTCGCCCACGAACGCCCAGCGGTTGATTCGCTCGATGTTGAGCTCACATTCTTGCGGAGGCTGATCCTGATGAGGCCCGCTGAGTGCGCGTATCTGCAGCAGCATTGCCGTGCTGAGGCAGACGGATATACTGGCGCTACTGCCCAATCCAGCACCAATGGGAATGGTCGATCGTAGTGTGTAAACGCACGGAGGGACTTTGCGCGACGCGAGGGAAAGGAAGAGGTATAGGAAGGAACACGCGGAGGCGTGGTGGATCTTGCGTATCGACTCGGGGGCTTTCGGTGATACTTCGTCGATGAAGGGCTGGATGGCGGCCATGAGGTCGGGGTCGAGCGAGGTGACGAGGTCGTAGTAGTACTTCTTCTTGCCTGACTTGGAGAAGCTGTCCCATGGCAGATCATCGATATTCCACGTGTGCTCCATCTGTATGTCGGGGAAGCGCAGTTTAACGGTCCGATTCGATTTGGAGAGGAACGAGACGTGGAGGTAGGAGCGGAGCGATATGGCGGCGGCGATGGCAGCCTGCAGCCGGTCAGCACATGTCCCGACATGATTGTGCTATTAATCCTACCTTGCCGTGCACTACCGCGTGTTCTCCGTAGACGATGACCTTGCCGGGTGCAGAGACCATGAAAGGAGGCATCATGGGTGACGACTGCTTCCGGAGCAGCGCAGGCGCGCCGTTCGGCTTCGTTGTGGAGATGGAAGGCATGTCAGAGGCCAATTGCGCGGGCATGGAATCTATAGGTGAGGGTTCGGGTGTTTGGGTGGAATGCGACGATGTGCGCGGGTGAAGGCTCGCTGCGTACGGATTAGCCATACAGGACTCGGACAACATCGGGACAATTGCCTTACCGGGCGCGTCGACGGTTCGTCTGCGCATGCTGCCGTTTGCTGCCATGGTGGGTGGAAGAAGAAGAAGAAAAGCAACAGGTGACAAGTGAGCGTGAGTGAATGGAGTAGGGAATTGGCCGTCAAGGAGGCGCCGTGCTCGACGGGCGGGCCAAGTACCAAAGTCGGGCGAGGTCATTATACATGGGCTAAGTCGGCGGCGGACTAGTGATCAGCTCCACCATGCAGGAACTGACGGGGGTAATCTTGCATCCCTGTTTCTGGAACCGCCCTATGGCTGCCGGTACATTTCCAACAAACAAATGTCCCGCCATCGCCCCGAGTGGGCTCTCTCCTCTGTGACGCAATCCAGTCCTCACCGGTGGCGCCGTCATGTCCCATTCACCTCAGATGCTTGGGCGCAGTCACGCGAACAATATCAACACTGCCCCTTGCCTTTGCGCACCCGTCCTCCACAGCCGCAGTAAGCTTGACGAGGGGCCCGGTGGCTTAATACTAGGACCGATGGTTCAAACGCGGGGAATATTAAAGTCTTATCAATGTAAAGCCCTATTAGGCCCGACATGACCATGTCTGCCACGCAATCGTCGGGCTCCGACTGTCCGTTGTACGAAGCTTACAGCCACACCACGCCATGCAACGCGACGCAATCGACTGACAGAGAGATCATGATCAGAGCCAAACTTGGTGTAGTGTAACAGGGCATCTCTATGCTCTCTATCTCGATGACCCGGAACTTGAGCATACAACCCGGCACGTGCATGCTAAACCAAAAACCCTGATAACTCCTCGCTATGCATGTACAGATCGGTTCATCAGAATGAGTCTACGATGGCGTCTTGATCATAAATATCTATGGAGACGTTAGTGGAAAGCACATCAAGCCATGGGAATGCAAACATACCTCTTTCATCGCTTGTGCATCCATAGTCGCAGCCTTCTTCTGCCGGATCCACTTCTGTCTGACGGCATGCATGCCTCTTGGAGTGTATGATAGGCCCGCGGGAACAGGCGTAGATGTCTTCGACACAGGTACCGATGAGATCGTTGTCGGCGCGCTCTCGTCTTCCTCGCTTTCTGAGCTCGAGTCGTCTGAGCTGTCCTTTTTCGCAGCCTTCTTTGCAGCTTTCTTCAGGGCCTTCTTCGCCTTCTTCTCCTCTTTGCGTGCCTTCTTCTCGGCCTTCCGCCGTGCCTTGTCTGTGAGCGGTTCTGGGTCAGATGCCGGAGCGGCGGCGTCGTCGGTGGAAGATTCGGCATCAGACGAAGATGCCCGTTTTGATTTCTTCGACTTGTCTTTCTTCTTTTCCTTTTTATCTTTTTTGTCCTTCTTGTCTTTCTTTGACTTGGATGAGTCGCCCTCCTTGCGTGCTTCGTCGCGCAGATCCATGCTCTTCTTCTTGCGCTTCACCTTGGGCTCGTCTTCGGTGCGCTCCTCTCGCTTCCTCTTTTTATCTTTCTTCGCCGATGCGCCGTCCTCGCTCTCCGACTCAGTCTTGATCTCAGTCTTGATCTCCACTTCCTTCTTGATATCCGAGCCCTTGGTAATCTTGTCGCCCACCAGGAAACCACCGCTCACAAAGTTCATCATGCCGTATTTCCGGTAGACAAAAGCCCTCTTCTCAATTTCCTCTCGCCTTTCCTCTTCCTTCTTGACCTCCGCCTCATTGCCATTCAGACGTCCAAGAATGCTCTCTAGTCCTGCAAGACCAAAGTTCTCGGCGCGCTCACTTCCTCGCTTTGCGCCCAAGCCAAGGTTGTCGTCTTTGAGGAATACTCGGATGTGCGATTGCGAGGCAGCGGTATAGTGAGCGGCGTGGGAGGCGTCTGTCGCGCCCAGTGAGTTGCCGGGCTGCCATCCTTGCGAGGTCAATATGCGATGGCCGAAGCGCGACGTGTTGTTCGCCCAAGTAGTGTTTTGGGGATCGTTGGAGATCTTCGATCGACTGGTGTAGGGTTAGTTTGGCAGGAAACAGCCAGAGCCAAACTGGCGAACGTACTTCTTCGGCGCTGCAAGACCCATGCTGAACACTGAACAGACTGAGCGATTTCGTGATTGTTGAAGAGAAAGCGGGAGTCCGCAAACACAAGCCCGAAAAAACTGTGGATGCACGCTAGCGCGGAATCTTGGCGCCATCCATGTGGGGAAGCCATCCCTCGCCGTATCCAAGCCTCCGACTTTCACCCTCTAATTCACAAGCTTCCATCACTTGAGCCACAACGACTTTCGCAACACGAAGGTTTCGCAAAACGATTGATCACCACTTTCACCCACACCACTAACCATCAGCACTTACCAACAGCAACCATGGCACCACCGCGCACAACTAAGAAATCCACACTCACAAGCCCCTCCACAGCCACCACTCGCCAGAGCGCGAGGCATTCACGGAAACAGGTCACCAACGAAGCAGATGATTTCGAAGACCTCGACCAAGGCAATAGCGCGATCGACGATGAACATGCTGGAGATGATGAGGCAGAAGCATTGCAGCGCACTTCCGATGGCCCGCTGGAACAAATGATGGTGAAGATGGTAGACGACGTATGTTGAGATGGGCCCATCACCAGCAGACTGTCGTCTCCATGTTCACGTCTATGACCCACACTCGCCTCGTCATTCGGTTGTCGGAGACATGAGGCTAACCACATGTGCAGCGACGCAAGTATCATGACATGTTGAAGAAGAATGTAGGTATAGCTTACAACAAAAAGAAAGAGGAGTTGGAAGAGTCTATCAATGCAGTCTTTGACACACATGAGGCTGAGGCGTAAGCAACGTAGTCATGGAAAAGATGATGAACCACAGACTAACAGTACCTCAGATCAACAGCCCATCAAGCACAGCTCAAACGTCTCCAGGATCTTGTCGGTCAAAAGATCAATATCGAAGCCGCTATAGGCAGGCAGCTAGCGAGCTTGCAAAAGATACACAACGCGCACTCTCGTGATCTCGAGACCGTCCTCGAACGCCGACTACGGGAGATGAAGTGAGCCCTAGACCTCTGGGGACAGAGAGAGTGTGGTGAGCCGGGCATGCGCAGAATGTCGCGGGCCTGTCGCAGGGACAGTGCGCCACTATAAGAGTCACGAATCTCGTCTTGAGTGTGATAGACCAAGTCATGGCAGAACAAGCAGGCAATGTTTTCTCAAAGTTGAGGGCTCAGGCATCAAAGTAATGTAATATAATTCAAGGATATCATAAGAGTCAACCGCCCAACTATTTCCTGTAAATTTGCGTTTTGAAAAGATTCCCGCATAAGATTCCGCTGTGCGCAACGCTCCTTTCTATGCATGGTCGCGCCTGAAATACCGCAAACGCCATTGTCATGCATGTCACCTCCGGTACTCCGGCAAGGCTTCGCTTTGCCGCCTGCTATCTTGCGGCGTACCCTGCGTACTTCGACCTGGGCGTACAGCGCCCACGAGATCTTCGTCTTCGTCATTTAGCGCAGGCGCCGAGGGTACCAATTGTAAGCTCTGCATTCTATTGAGTGGTGGCGCTGAAAGAGCATGTGAGGACTCTCCATCTTCATCATGATCTGTGGGCGGTGCACTTCTTTCCATTTCCAGTCTACGTCGCTGCATCTCCTGCTTGTCATCGGTAGGTTCGACATGTGATGACGAACCAGCGACGTACTCTGGTGCGGAGCCTTGTGCCATGTGTGACGATTGGGGTGGTAATGGCGGCAGTGGTTTTGATGGGTCGTTATCTTCGCCATTAACGGGTGGCTCTGATCGACTGGGATGTATGGTATGCGAGGACGCAGTCCGAATAGTTCTCGTCTCGTCATCTGTGATGTTCGTAACACGGCGCTGTAACGATGGTGATGATGTCATGCGTGACGACAACATTGGCGAAGATGTCGCACGAAATGGAGGCGGAGGATGGGCTGGAGTCGAAGACGACGAAGCTACTGCGACGTAAGGAGGGTTTGGATCATCATCTTCCGGCAGCACGGGCGCTGACGCAGGTATGCCGTATTGAGCACCCCCTGAAGGCGTGGAGGATCCAGCAGCATCTGGTGGTTGAGAAGGTAATAAGCGTTCCTCTGCTCGTCGCAACCGTTCTTTCTCCGATATCCCCTGCTCTTCTTGAGGAACATCTGCAGGCACAGGGAACCCTGGTGCTCTGCCTACGCTATGTTGTTCATATCCGGGGACGTCGTCATACGTTGGATCGTAATTGTAATCGTAGTATTGCCCGTTCTCGTCCTGCTCGTAGTAGTACTGATCGTAGCCCTGCTCATCGTTGTATCCTCCGTAGGCGCCATTGTCATCAGCCGGCTGTTCCTGTATCTGTTTCTTCTTGCCGTTCCTGTCGCTGTCTCTGGTACCGATGACAACTTCGAATAAAGCAGAGATGATGCCCTTCTCGCGGCGAATCTGATCGGTGTCGACAAAGTTGCCTCCCCAAGTTGAGAACATACTGCCGCTAGCATCGTCACGTGTCATGGCAGAGGTGCCTCCAGCTGCTGAAGGCAGATTGACAAGCCCAGCGTTGGACACCATTCGGTCGAGGCCTGTGAGCTTGCCTTGTATGTCTACAACGACCTCGACGTAGTACTTGAAGGATATCATTGCGCCCGGTACGTTTGATATTGTGGGGAAAGCTTCATCCGGTACGCGCACCGCACACTTCACCTCGGCCATGAGCGTTCTGGGATCGACGAAAAGTGGTGCAAAAGATTGGCACAGATCCTTTCGGAACAAGTGACTGGATCCAGCTGATGAGAGGGATAACCCTCCTAGGCCAGTCCTCGATTTCGGATAGTAATCTTCTGACTTGGTCTTGTCGCCTTTGCTGTTTGGTACGACAGGCAGTGCAGGATGCATGTCAACTCGTGCTTGACGATACAACGTGATGATGATGCCTTTCAAGCTTCGTATATGCTTCGTGTGATTCACGGTCACTTTGATCGGTATTTGGTCGCCTCTGAGAAAGCCGCCCTTGAGCACGTCGATCGTGGCTGTGATTGTCTTTCCTTTCAGTGTCGCTCGACTTCCATTCTGTGAGTTTGATCCATCTGTAGCCGTGTTGATCGAACGAACGCCGTACTCTGTTCCGGAAGCGTTTCCACTACTCCTTTGACTCTCATAGCTTACGTCGCTAGGCGAGGGGCTCCGTGGACCCTCCGTCTCATCGATGGTCTTAGTTGCTTCCAAGGCGGACCCCACTGACTGAGGCTCCGAGCCAGAGGGTGTATGTGACGTCTCCTCTATTGGCCGTTTCCGTGTCGACCTAGCGCGTGTTCGTCTAGATATGGGTTCCAAAGAAATGACACGGGGCTTCAGCTGCGGCACGGGCGCGATGTCGATCGATTCGGTGAGGTAGACCTTTGTGTCGCATGACGCGGTCGGCGACATGGTCGTGGGGCGTGTCAAGGTGGCATTGAGCATGTAAGATATCGTTCCGCGCTCGAACTGTGATAGGTTGTTAGTAAGTCTGTCAACCGCAGATGAATCGCTACTCACGTCAATACTGCTGGGTAAGCCTTTGGAGGGGAACTCGAGTTCGAAGTTAAAGTGGTATACACCCTCAGCCAGTCTTCCCTCGCCGCAAAGCACAACCTCGTCCTCGAACAGCGAAACGAATCCATTGCCAAAGTAGCTCACTGCCTTTTTCCCTCTCCCAGAGCCGACTGTTGAGCAGTAGTTCTTGTAGGCGTCTCCGGGAGTATTTGGGTTCTTGAAAACCTGCGCATAGCCGTGCAAAGATACGACCAAATGAGTGATTCTCAGGGGTTTGACGATCTTGATAATGACAGTCCCACTAATGATGTCGCCCGGCGTGTAATGGCGATGGGGGTCATCTGATTGGATATAGAATTCGGTGTAGTTGCGGGACTTGGATGTCAAGGGCGATTTGAGCCGAGAGAGAAACGACCGGCTCGACACTGGGGAGGACGGAGTAGCAGCTGCACGTGTCTGGCTGGAAGTCATACTCCGTGTACCAGGCACATCATGCGGCTATCCGCAGTATAGACGGTCGTCTCCGGAAGCCCACGCGATTCCACAAATGTGCCAGTACAAGCTAGTCGCTTGGGCCGCCGGGACGAGCTGTTGCGTGCAGGCACCGGTGTCGGGAGGCGCACGCGACCGTCGGTAGGTATATCGCGAAGATGGCTTTGCGTGGCTAGTCAGAACGATAGGCGCAACCAGCACGGCGGAGGACGCGGTCAGGTGTCCGGTATATGGTGTTGTGGTTCTTGTGCGATCGCTTCGGGGCTGGCGCACGCAACGGCGACGCGCAACTGTCTCAGATGGACGGGGGGCTGTGGTGATGGCGATGGACAAGGTCGGTGACAGGCAACTGGATAGCGCGCACCTCTGGTCAGCATTGCGGTGGACACGGCGTAATCGTGGCAATACGGTGATGTCTCGCGGTCCCACGCGGGGAACGACGATGGTGATGGTGGCAGTGCTCTCTAGCGTGAGCAAAGACAAGCCGTCGTGCACGGCGCCGCAGCCCCATGGATGCTAACGTGACGGGCACGAGGCGGACAGCGGACAGCGGACAGCAATCGGGACGCTTGTGGGCGCGAAGGAAGGGATGGATGTATGATGGATCAGCAGTTACGTACAGCTTGGGTCGCGCAGAAGGCTTGTTCAAGAGCCGCAAATGCTCTTGGCTGCCAAGTCGTCAAAGGAACACAGGGTCTGTCCACGGTGGAGAGTGGTTGGGCGGGGGCTCTTGGTGGGTGCAAAAGTTCGGTCTCATCAGTAGCACCTGAAGTTTGCAGGTGTTGTTAGCTGGAGTTTGGAGGCCCGACGATGTGTTATGTACGCAAGGGCAGAAAGCACTGCCTGGGTCGTCGCCAGCTATACAAGAAAGTTACCCGCGGAGGCAGACACCGTGCTCGCTGCAGCTGCACACCATGCGCGGGTGAACCTACGCGGATCCCCGATGCTGGGTCGCTAGGCTGTTGCGTTGCGCGATTCTTTTTGTCTGCCCCCTCGGCCTAATCATATGCGAGTTGCGTTGTCTCTCGATACCGCTTGCGAAGCTTGCTGGGGCGTCTCTTGGGATCAAACCGACTAGGGTGGGCACTGGAGCTTGCGAAACAGCTAATGTCATGAGAGTGACCCATCCAGTATCGAGTCTTGTCTGCAGCGCTGATGAAGTCTGGCGCCAAATGCTATTATGTTTAGCTATCCTGCATCAGCGAGGGGACACAGGCCCACTGCGGTCTCGATCATGCCGTCTGCGTCCTAGCGCGCGATCATAGCTAAGCTTCGCTGCCAAGCAGGTCATCAATGCTTGTGTCGCGCTGTTGGTGCGTCACGGCCATAGACATCCTTCTCATTTTCAGGAGTACTGATATCACCACCTCCACGATTCTCCTCGCAACGACATTAGTAAGCTATAACATATCATGCTAACGGCTGCGCACTCATAGGTGGGGTAGCTTGGTAGACGCGCGAACGAGGTACCTAAGTATTCCCGAGGTCTGTTGTGGTTCTACGATGAATCGTGACTAGAGGGCCCTTTCTTCTAATCTTCGCGCTTGCGCTCTGGTGGACCTGAACGGCAAAATTGTTTGTGTACCTTGCATGATCCGCGGTTACAGACATTTGGTGATGGAGATCCTGGATAGCCATTCACAACCACTGCATTTCAAGCAAGACCTAGACGAAAACACAAAATCGGGTACGCGAAACCACGGTTGTAAACTGTCTACGGTAAGCTTATTATGTCGCTACTGACGCCTCTTTTCTCGAGCTACGATACAGTAGAGTCCTTCAATCATATCTGCATCTCTTGAGGTTTTACCTCCAAACGACGCCACTCTAAGATCTGCTGTCATTATCAGGGTCAAACTTCGACAACAAGCCATCAAAGACCACAGAGAACCTGCAAGTAGGAGACGAAGTCCTACTACGTATCAGCCCATCAACGTATCAATAGCCAGAAAGCAAAAAGCTATGAGTATCCACCCTACTATGGACTCAATCGACAGACTCAAAACTGGCTTCGCCGCGCTCCCAGAAGAACTTCGCCTAGAAATCTACAAATGGAACGCAAATTGTATGGTCCTCAATACTGTTCCTGGGATCAAACATGTACGTTGGGTGGCCACTGCATACAATTCCGGCATCACTGGAGTCTGCCGGGAGATCCAGCAAGCTGCCGGCGACACATTGTATGCGCTCGACCGAGAGAAGGAAGCACGCCTTTTCGTGCACTGGAAGGGCATCAAGCAGTTGCCTCGCCTCTTACAACTACTCGCACATACGTATACATGGGGTAAGCGCTGGCTTGAAGCCAATCCACCAAACGCGACAGATGGTCAGCAAGATTGGGTGCGAGTCAAAAAGTCAACTTCGCATGATCTCAACACACTACTTTACGAGTATCTTAATCCCAGCCATTACAAGAGAATTTTCAGCGAACTCGGAGATCCATCACGATTACCTACGCTTTCCACACTGGTACGAGACTGGTTTAGTGATATTGCTACGAAATGCAATACCGCCGCCCCGATCCCCCTGAGTACAGCGGAACGACGTCTCCTGATCGAATTCCTGGAGATGACAATGGACAAACTACGGAACCCAAGCACGAGCGGAGATGTCGAAATATATATTACCGTCCCCACAGTAGACGCCACTTATGCAGACCCTGACGACCAGACCAGGGCATTGTATCTTGATGACGTAGTGGAACACATGTATCAACTTTTTGAGACTTTCCGGACGCATTTCCGAATCAAATTTCGGCTCGTTGCTGTCCTAAACACTCCGGCAGACGAGTTGATTTGGACGCTGGTGGGTGAAGATTACGCCAAATTCATAGAGCCATGCTACAATATTGTGCAAAGAGAGGGTACTGGGGACTTTGAGGTCACGTTTAGCAGCATCATGCGTGTAGATCACGAGGCACTAGACATGGCTTGATTGTAGCTGGTGGCGGGTACTTAGGTGAAGCAGAGTGCTCCAGAAGTCCCCTCCGCTCGAACGTGAGACGTCGCAGTGAGTGCCTATATATCACTCTCTGAGTTTCGAGACTGTACGCCTATAGATGGCTAACGAGCGCGCCAATGGTTCGAGGTTGGTGTTGTTGTCAGTATGACGGGCGTGAATAGGTCGGAGGATGGCTGACTCAGCGAGCGGTCGCAGAAAGCACAGACTGACTCGGGGCGCTGAACTTTTTCTGGCCGGAAGGCGAACTAAGGGTACGATCGCTCTCAGTATCCACAACCCCTCGGCGTCTCTACTTTTCTCTAGTTTCTCAGTGCGGATTACTTTGTATGTACGAATGAAGATAATGAAACTAGTTTCACACACTCTCTCATCTCGCCCGTTCGCTCTTGCTCGTCTCGTTCAGCCGCGCTCTCTAGCAACTAATACAAGACATAGCCTCATCTCGACAATCCCCTTCGCACTCAACCGCACCCAACACAGACAGTACACCTCACTTCCAGCACCAGTCTCAGACATGTCCGCACCACCGAAGCGCAAATGGACCCGCGGCGGCAGAGGAGGAGGCCGTGGAGGCGGCGGCGGTGGCGGCGGTGACCGTACCAATGGCACACCCGGGCGAGGACCTGCGAACGCTCGCTCGACCATGTCGCAGCAACCAAAACGTCCTAGAGTCGAAGACACGCTGCCGAAGCCAGATCTGGGCGTCGACGTACGGCAGATGTACAGCACTGCGGCGGGCGATGCGGCACCGAAGCCCTTCGCCGACCTGAAGAACAAGCTACACCCAGCGTTGCTCAATGGCTTGGACAAGATGGGATTTGAGTAAGCATAGCCCTTCTTACGTTACACTCTCCCAGCACGGTCGCTGACTCTTACAGATACATGTCCCCTGTTCAACAAAAGGTTCTCACTGAGCTGCCCAGTTCCTCCTCCGACTGTGTTGTACAGGCGAAGACTGGTACGGGCAAGACCGTGGCCTTCCTACTGCCTGCGATCCAAAATCTCCTAGCCGGTAACATGCCCCGCAAAGGCAAGGTCGCCATCCTCGTCGTCTGCCCTACCCGCGAGCTGGCTCTACAAATTGCGAAGGAGTGCAACGGTGTCACATCGTGTCTGCCCCAGAAGATGGAGTGCCATACTGCGTTTGGTGGTACTTCCCGTGCTTCGAACCTTAAGGCCTTCATGAACGGCAACCCTACCGTCTTGGTCGCTACTCCCGGTCGCCTTGACGACATTCTGGGTGAAGAGGAAGTTCGCGAAAAGTTCAGTGATCTGAAGACAGTTATCCTCGACGAGGCTGATCAGATGCTCGATGCCGGGTTTGCACCTGCGGTCAAGAAGATACTCAGGCGCATTCCCCCAAAGAACGATGGCTGGCAAGGAATGTGTTTCTCCGCCACACTCCCCAAGGAGGTTCTTGACATCGCCAAGATTGTCTTATTCCCTGGTTACACACATCTTTCGACTGTCGACCCGAACGAAGTGCCGACCCACGAGCGCGTACCACAGTTCTTCTTCTCTGTTCCTACTGTCGGTCAGACTTTCCCTGCGTTGTCAGCCCTGATCGAGGAGGAGTACAACCAGAACCCCACCGGCTTCAAAGCCATTGTCTTCGGTACCACCGCGAACGGTGTCGGACTGCTGTATGACCTCTACCGAAATGCGCTACCCCAGTTCAAGCTATTTGAGCTCCACAGCCGCATGTCTCAGCCTGCACGCACACGCACTACCCAGGAATTCAAGGACGCTCAAAGCGGTGTCTTGTTCGCATCCGACGTCGTCGGGCGCGGCATGGATTTCCCCAACGTTGGCCTCGTCGTTCAGCTGGGTCTCCCCTCAAGCACTGACCAGTACGTTCACCGTGTCGGCCGAACAGCTCGTGCCGGTAAGGATGGACGTGCCGTCCTCGTTCTCTTCGAGCAAGAAGCCTTTTTCCCAAGGATCAACAAGACGCTGCCTATCAACCCTTACCCCGTCGACCTTGTGTCACGTCTACCCTCGCATCAAGCAAACATTGACCGAGCCTTCACCAATGTCGATGAGCAATCGAAGGCAAAGGCGTACCAGGCGTTCCTTGGCTACAACAAGACTTTCGTCAAGAAGCTGCAGATCTCTACGGCCGATCTAGTTCGTCTCGCTAATGATTACGCGTACACGATGGGCTGCCCCGAGCCGCCCATGTTGGAGAAATCCACAGTCGGCAAGATGGGCCTGAAGGGAATACCAGGTCTCAGGATCGGGTCTCGAAGGAACTAAATATTTGTTGGGCCTTGAAGCAGAGATTCTGAAGCCGATGAACGATGTCTTACTTTGTCTGGAGTTTTCACATAGATCATTTGAGATTAGACATTGCTAATGAGCATGTCAGCATTGTTGGCAGAATCAAGAGATAGACATAGACCTTTTTTGGTGCACTAAGTTAGTACCTAGATACCCGAATATTTTCTCTTCCATACAAAGTTGCATGTCAACATTGCCATCATATGTTTGTGTCACACTCAGCATGCTTTATATGCCTTCAACCGCAGAACGCTTTCTTGTTCATTTCACGCGCGGTAATAATCTACCACGGAAGATGTTCTAAAGAACGAAAGTGCGTCCATTGTATCTTGGAATACAAGTCAATGTACCGGTCAGGAACAGTACAGATAGAGGCAACTGTAATTTGCATTGCTAGCAGACCCACGTACATCATCGCTGAATCTCGTGGTCATTTCTTCACACTCCATGTCACTGTGCTGATTCAACTCAAGTAACATCGGGCTAATGCAATGCCGTACAGCAGGCTTCGGGATGTTTTGTAGCGTTCTCAAAACGCTTGAAACATGGTCTGGTGTCAGTACGATCGCTAGGCTCGTCTGTGACGACAGCGACGTGAAATTACATAGTCAAATGACCTTACTGTAGAGACACTGACAAGCGCAACTACCCGAATGTATTCGGTATTTTCACAGATAATGTACATCCTTGTGCATTCCATGATCTTCATTAACGGCTCATGAGCGAAAACCCCGTCGACATTCAGGGTCAGGATTAATGTGGATATGTACATTACAGCGTTACATGCCTAGTAATGTGACCCTTTGCAAACTTTCCGATGGTGATCTGGTCGGGTATCGTACTCAAGTGCCATGCCCACAGGCTGTACCTTGCAGAACCGCAACAGCACACTATCACAAGGGTAGCATGAGCTCTTATCCAGGTACATATTAGGGGTCAAGGGAACTTCCCCGGCACAGAACACGCTCGCAGCTCATGACAGGTCGCGTGAGCGCTTTATTGCCGGCTCGTTCATGTCATGAGTTCAGCGCATGACAAGTAAGTGCCAGAGCATACGTCAGCTTTGCAATCAGGTGAGAAGGTTGGAATGAACAGACACTGGATTGCAGGGCGTGTAGAATTGAGTGAGGCCCGGTGTTTGTCCATTTGGCCTTCCCATTTCCTGGACTGATGGTTTGTATACGGTTTCAATTTCACCGTCTTAGAATTCAAGTAGGCAGTTTGAGATTAGAAAATGATACGATTTATGTTTTCTCTGATTGGCCATAAAACTGTATTTCCGCAAGTGCCGGCCTGAATTCTGGGCTCCGATCCGACAGCACTGGCAACGTCGGGCGGGAGATTTCACGGACGGAGTCAAGCAAGCACCGAAAAGGACCAGCCGGTGCCCTCCGCTTTGGAAGCATACTTCCCGGTTTGGTTACACAAGCCTGTTTGCGGGTTTAGACGCACGAGAGAACAGACGCTGTTGAGGTCGAAGTTGCGGCTACCCGCTGATCACCATGATGAGCCGTCCGCCCCACGCTGCTAATCACGGAGGAGGCTCCGCATCGTGATCTGTAAAGACTCGCTTAGGAGGTTATTAATGGAACCACAGACGTTGTTGACGGGTGCCTAGCCGGCACCTGAGCGTTGCGCCTTTCAACAGGAGCTGAGCTGCATGATGAAAGAATATCGCAATGGACAGAAGAAAGAGCAAGAGGTGTACAAGCCGGTAGACCGGATGCGGCATATGCGATATGACTGTTGAGTGGGGTGCAGTACTGGGGTAAGCTGACACGCAGGCATGGTAGCGAAGGCTTCCGCGCATGAAGACGGCATACTCGGAGCGCACTACGACGAGGTACCCGATTTTCACGTAGTGTTCCAAGATGAGTTCTCGCGCAGGTGGTCGACCAGATGACAGTTCATCTCCTTTGCGAGTTTGTGATCGCGATGCAGGAGAAGTTCCGTGCGCTGGAGTTGAGATCGAAATGAGATGTCGGTGGTAGCCTCGAGAGACCCTTCTGGACCACGAGGGTAGCGATGCAGCGTGGACTGCGTACCCCTGGGATGTGGGCGTGTGGCTTTAGTGGTTGAGCTGAGCTGCACCTAAGGCCAGGGTGCAGTTTGTCGAGTTTCATGCGCCCCTAGTGTTCGGATCAGAGTGTGCCACCGTCTGGCACTCGATAGGCTGTGCATTGCGCTCCGGGGCAACTCCCTAGGCATACGATAGCTGTTATCCACCGGCTTGCAGCATAGCTGGCTGCGACGGGGCAGTTGTTTCACCGACGCGTTGCACTGGCGCTTGCACGTCGGTGGCTCTCCCAGTCGTCGCCACAGGCGTTGGGTGCTGGATCCCACGGCGGGCAAAAGCAATGGGTTTCAGATGGGCGTCAATGGCAGCAGCCTTACCGTGCACGCCCACTGCAAACAGCTGGCTAGTGTAATTGCCGGCGCGAGGTTGTTCCTGGGCAAGATGGGCATGACGTGCGATCGATCAGAGGGAACTCGTGCTCGGACCCCCTCATTGGCCACGCTCCCTTGCTCCTTCCTTGTAGGTGCGTTTGCGGTGGCAGCCAAGGAAGGTGCGCTGCAGCTGCCTCCAAGCCTGCCTATTGCCCTCTTGTCCTGCCCGCTTTCTCTCCACGCTCCAGCAGCGGCCCAAGATCTCCTCTTCTTGTTTCATCGCCCACTTTGTGTCTTTGAATCTCTCCCGCCGCATTCCTCCATTATTTGCTATCAGAAGAAAACGCACACCGCCCTCCCGCTGCAGATCCGGCATTACTGTCGTCAGAGGTTCTTTTTTAGCGCCCTTAAGCGAATTGCTCCGCTGCCTCATCCCATCAGCACAGGTTAGATAGCAGCCCACCCTCCCTCAAACGCGCTCCTTTCTCACAAAGTCACGTAGAATTGCACCGCACATGACAGGCAGCATACTCCCTCCGACAATTGACAGCCTGCACCCTACCGCCCCTTCAACGACTCACTTGGCCCTCGTCACCGCAATCTTAGTCAACACCGCACCTGCCGACCGTGCTTAGTCGCCTCGACGGACCCATTTTGGATTTCTAGACGCGACTTCACGCGTCAAAGCGTCTGGAGAGACTATACAAGGCTGTTGGTGCCCTTGTAGCGCAGTCTCGCCATGGCTGCAGCGCGTCGACAACACTCCATGCAGATTTTTCAAGACCCTGTACAGCCTCACGACCACCACCAAGCAAACGCCTTTGATCCACGCGACCTCGACGCCTTCACGTCCATCACCGACGTGTCCAACAACTCAAACACCCTCCTCGCCCCTCCCGCACCCTTCACCGCCAGAGCATCGCCCCGCAAGACCCGCCAAGTCTCCAGCTCGCCTCCACCCAGCGCCCTTACCGAGAAGGGCCTCAACACGGTCAAGATACCGCCGCCGCAAGAGCAGTGGTTTCGCACCGACGCGCCCACCAAGAAGACCCAGGCTGCGCGTTCGCAGGACTCAGATCCAATGGTCGGCGAACTCCAGTACTGGCCCGGCTATCCGTCCCACATGGATAAGGAGAACGCCTACTATTCTGGCCCCGTCATGTCCGCCATGTCAGCGGCAGAGCCACCCATGAAGCAGGGAAACAAGCGACCACTGATGGACGCCGCCCCGCTACGCGACCGCACCAATATGAACATCACCAAGAAGCAGAAGTTCGTCAAGGACATCAAGATCGAAGACGTGGACGGACCGCTACCCAACCCAGACCAAATGCCCACCGTTGAGGACGACGGCAACAAGCCTTCTTACAGCTATGCGATGCTCATCGGCATGGCTATCCTAAGATCACCGAGCCGTCGGTTGACCCTCGCGCAGATCTACAAATGGATTTCCGACACATTCGCTTTCTACCGTAACTCCCAAGAGACTGGATGGCAAAATAGCATCCGCCACAACCTTAGTCTGAGCAAATCGTTTTCCAAGCAAGAACGCCCCAAGGACGACCCTGGAAAAGGCCACTACTGGGTCATTAATGCTGGATTCGAGAAGCAGTACCACAAGGTCAAGCCCGTTCGCCGACCGGCACCTCCAGAGTCCCTTGCTCCGGCATATGCTAGTGATCTCCCGCGTCCTTCCACATCCATGTCGGCTAGCTTCCCACCCATGAGTTCGACAAAGGGATTTGACTCGAGCAAATTTCCGGAAGAGGCCGAGCTACCTTCTTCCGAAGCTACCATCCCTTGCTCTGACCCTGCTGCGCATGACGGCCATGATCCTATTAGCATGCCACCGCCCCGTCAGATGCCATCTTCGCCTCCACCAGCTGACATCCACTCATCACCTCCTCCTCCTGTCTCTCGATCTCGTTCAGTGCGTGAGGACACACCGCCACGCGCTCCACACTTCGCACCCAACAGCCGTTCGGGCGGACGCCGGCGCAAGCTCAACGGTCTCGGTGACAGCGGTTACTACTCGTCCATCGAATCGTCTGCAACCAAGGGTAACCCAATGGGACCCTTACTCACTTCCGAGGCGGATCTCGATCGTCCCAACCTTAAGCGTGGACGTGCTGAAGAAGAGATTGCCCGGATACGTGGCTCCTCTTACGATTCTCCCACCAAGCCTAGGTCTCACAAGCAGTCTGCCATCTCGTCGCCGGTCCGCCAGGGTACCAAGGTTCTCGATCCTCTTACCCCTGCTATTGTCTTCAAGCGGCCTGCTCTTCCACCCGCTTCTGCATCGCCCAACACCAATCTACGCAACCATCGTAACAAGATGCGAGAACTAGTAGGCGGCTCACCAGACAAGAGCCTTGCTATGTGGGTTGACACTTCCTTCCTTGACAACAAAGCTTGGAGCCCAGCTGTATCTATCCCCAACGAAGAGAACGTCAACCTCGTCGGACATGGTTTCGAGAGTACCTTTGACATCTTTGGAGACTTTGGCTACAACGAGAGCCCCCTCAAGCGTTCAGCCAAGCGCCCCCGCCTCGAACGTGCCGTCACCACAAGCGGTGTTCTCGCCGACA